TAATCCAGGCACTTGTCACTTCCAGTTGAGGCTTGCATCTACTACAATACCATGGTGCTTGCCTATGGAGCTGTGAGGGGAACAGCACCTCCTTACCTTCAGGCCCATCCAACTTGAAGGAGATGGAGCAGTTTTGCCTTGAAGAATGGGCAAAAATCCCAGTGGCTAGATGTGCCAAGCTTAGAGACATACATCAAGAGACTTGCAGCTGTAATTGCTGCAAAAGGTGGCTCTACAAAGTATTGACTTTGGGGGGGGGGGGTGAATAGTTATGCACACTCAAGTTCAGTTTTTTGTCTTATTTCTTGTTTGTTCCACAATAAAAAATATTTTGCATCTTCAAAGTGGTAGGCATATTGTGTAAATCAAATGATACAAACCCCCCAAAAATCAATTTTAATTCCAGGTTGTAAGGCAACAAAATAGGAAAAATGCCAAGGGGGGTGAATACTTTCGCACGCCACTGTATATACTTATTATGGACACAGTATGCTTTACATTAGTTATCTTGTTGTTATTAGTTGTTGTTAGTTGTTATTAGTCCCATCCTTCAACTCCATTCAACACCTCCCATCTATCTCTTAAGACCATCCATATTGGATTTCTATTTGCCATATATTTTTCAACTGTACTGTGATGTTTCACAAAAGTTCTGAACCCTTCTATTCTCATTGTTTCTACAGATTGTAAATTGAAAATAAATGTTTTTGCTAAAAGTATTATTATATTATTGATCGATTGACTATTACTTTTCAGATCACCCAGTAGTGCTATCTGCAGGGTTAGCTCCAGGTAAATATTGCAATCCTTCAGCCATTCCTGGACCTGTGACCAAAAACAAGCTACAAATGGACAGTACCAAAGCAAATGATCTAATGATTGTGTCTCTTCGCAGCAAAATCTGCAGATCTGGGAAGACTGTATCCCCCATATAAATAACATTCTATTGGTAGCAAGAATTTTGTATAATAATTTAAATGGAAAAATTCTAAGTTTTGAATCCGGCGTCGTTTTGCGTATCAGTTCATAAACACTATGCCATAGAATCAGTACGTCAAAAATCTCTTTCCAACTATTTTGCAATCTATATGGGATGGCTGTCAATCCTTTGGTCCTTAAATTAAACTGGTATACTTTTTTATTTATCACAATTTTCTTTAACCAATGATGTTCTTTAATGCAGGGCCGACAGACAAGTTCCTTACTTTTTCCCCCTTCCACTTTCCTCTTCCATTTTTGCGGTAATGCTACAATTATTTGGTTGTAATTTGGGTAGAGCAGACATTTCCATATGTTTTTGTTAGCTGCATGTGCGACATAACTCCACCAGTCCTACCTATGATATCATTTACGAAGATTATACCATTTTTAAACATTTTTTCAAAAAAATAATGTTTTTTTTATCAATTAGTATATTTGAGTTTAACCACAATATTTGTTGCATTATTTGTTCTGTCGTTTCTGGAGGATTAAATTGAAATTGCAACCAACTTTCTATGCTTTAATATTTAATAATTTCTGTCCTCCGAAATCATATTAATTATATAAATAGGCCCGTTTAATTTTGTCTGGCTTGCAGTTCCAAATAAAATAATATTTTTTTCTCAAAAACTGCTCGCTAGGCGTAGGCAAGCCCATAAGCAAATAGGTAAACTGGGATAATACTAAAGAGTTAATCAGGGTGAATTTTCCACAAATAGACAGGTATTTACCTTTCCATGGTAGCAAGATCTTATCTATTTTTGCTAACTTTCTATGAAAATGTATTGGAGTGAGATCATTTATTTCATTTGGGATATGTATTCCGAGTATATCCACATCACCATCAGACTATTCTATTGGTAAACTACATGGTCATGTAAAAACTGTCTTTTTTAGTGATCCAATACGTAATATAGTAAATGTATCATAATTTGGTAGGTAGAAAATGTAACTAGATCCTCTATGAGGCTGTGGAGGGATTCAAGTTGTGGATTTAAAAGAAAACATGAATCATCAGGGTACAATTTATTATTATTATTATTATTATTACAATGACACCTTTGTTTTTAAGCCCTGGATTTCTAATCCCTTGATATTATTGTTGGATCTGATTTTAATAGCTAACATTTCGATGGCCATAATAAATAGATATGCCGATAGTGGACAACCTTGTTTTACTCCTCGACAGTTTAAAACTTTCTGAGAAATAGCCAAACAGAAATAGTAAAAACTGATTTTGTTTGCTTACTGTTTGAGGTGAAAAAAACTTTACTTTGAGAAGCTCCACAGCTCATTAGTGGTGGTGCATTAAGCCAATCAGAAATACTATCTGATCCCAAAATGGGCCCATTTATTTGCCTACATTTGCGAGCAGGCCAGGTAGCCTATAGCCTTATTCTATGCGTAATCAGGTGTGCGTCCTTACTCAACATTGACAGGAGTGCTCCAAACAAAAGACAATGACTAAATTGACAAAACTCGTAAATGGAATGAAATAAACCGAAACTTGTTTCTCACAAGTGTAGCATAGGTTGTGCGCTCTGAAAACAACGTGTCCACTCCAACAATGAGAACGGTAAAAGACTGGAATAATTATATATTGAATGAATTAACAGACATGACCATAACCAAACAAACATTGTAGATTAGAAATTATAGGAATTAACAGTAAATGTATTACTGGTGATATATGTAATGGGAAATTGATAGACACTAACAATCAAACGTAAACAATTCACACAATGAAGTTATGAAAACAATGATTGTGCACAAATTGGCAGGAGAGAGCGCATTCTGGAGACATGCATTGTGCAGCCACACTCCCCTTCTTCTTGGACTGTGCCATCCCCGTGGCCTCTGCAATGGACTAGTTCACTAAGATGGGCGCGAATAAGACAGGGGTCTTGTGTGCCATAAAAAGAAACATATATATTTGCTACTGCTCGGCTAAAGAAAATCTCGGTCGACCAACAGCCTATCGACCAAAGAATCGACCAGTCAAATAATTGGGGTCAGCCCTAGTATATAGCCAAGTTATCGTTATTCATTGTGTATTTATTATTACTTTTCTATTATTTCTCCATTTTCTTTCTCTCTGCATTGTTGGTAAGGACCCGTAAGGATTTCACTGTTAGCCTACACCTGTTGTTTTATGAAGCATGTGACAAATAACATTTTATTTGGCTTGTCCCCTCTGACTTCAAAATGGCCAGAGTCGCTCCCCTCCTCAAGAAACCAACACTCAACCCCTCTGACGTCAAAAACTACAGATCGGTATCCCTTCTTTCTTTTCATTCCAAAACACCTGAGCTGGCTGTCTCTGACCAACTCTCTCGCCATCTCTTTCAGAACGATCTTCATGAGTCACGGAGTGTCACGGAGGCTCTCCGCACTGCCAAAGCTGACTCTCTCTCTGTTCTCATCCTCCTAGATCTATCCACTGCCTTTTGACACTGTCAGGGTTGGGCGTCTCAGGTTCTGCACACTCTTGGATCGCATCCTACCTGACTGGCCGCTCCTCTCAGGTGACGTCGAGAGGATCTCTGTATGCACCACGTACTCTCACAACTGGTGTCCCCCAGGGCTCGGTTCTAGGCTTATCCAGAACGCTGCAGCCCGCTTGGTGTTCAACTTTCCCAAGTTCTCCCATGTCACCCCGCTCCTCTGCATACTCCACTTGCTTCCAGTCAAAGCTTGCATCCACTAGAAGACCATGGTACTTTCCTATGGAGCAGCAAGAGGAACTGCTCTTCCCTACCTTCAGGCTTTGCTCAAACCCTACACCCCAACCGAGTACTCTGTTCTGCCACCTCTGGTCTCTTGGCCCTCCCACCCCAACGGGAGAGCAGCTCTTCTCTGTCCAGTCAAAGTTCTTACCTGTCCTGGCACCCCAATGGTGGAACTAGCTTCCCCGAGTCCCTGCCCATCTTCCGAAAACATCTGAAACCCTATCTCTTCAAAGAGTATCTTAAATAATCCCACAGCACCCTGCCTCACACCACCCCCACCCAAAACAAAATACAAAAACAATGTGCCTTTCGTGAACTAGCGCTGGACTCCCCTACCCCCCTTACTAGCACTGACTTTGCTGACAGTTACTTTATTGAGGAAACATTTACTTTCTATGACTGAGATATGTGGTTGTCCCACCTAGCGATCTTAAGATGAATGCACTGTAAGTCGCTCTGTATAAGAGCGTCTGCTAAATGACTAACATGTCAAATGTAGAGGGGGAAGAAAATGCTCTCTTGGTCCATCTCTCGCTAGTTACATTGTAGATCCTATTCTTTACTCCTCAAGATCTCCAATCAACATCTCTTGTCTCCAGGCTTCAACTGCCGGTATGCAAGCAGTGCTGTTGTGATAAATAACATATTTTCCCAGGACTAGAATGCAGCTCCTGGCAACACATAAAAAAAACTGCACTGAAACAACATGATGCACTTTTGTTAGACAGATAGAACTACAGCAGGCTACTGCGTCCAGAAGTAGTAGTACCTGGCGAAAGAACAAGGAATGAAGTAGCCAATTGGTTAAGCGTGAAGCTGTGAAAGTGAAACAGCAAGCTCCCCCTACAAACATCCCCCACCCCTAACTCTCCATCCAAAAACTCTGTCTCCGTCACCTTGCAGACTAACCCTATAGCCTTTGTGTTGTCTTTATGAATACAGGTAGTCATGCGCCATTCAGTACATTTATCAGTGTTCTACATGCAACAATAGCACATTTACAACATATTAGGTGCAGCATGAAAGAAAGACCACATGAACTATCATGTCCATTCTACCCATTCTATTTCTGTCTCTAGACTCTACATCCTGGTCATGTTCAATAGGCACGAAACAGGAAACTTTTTCAAACTTATTTGACAAGTTTAGGTATGTACCCCTCCATTACTCTTTTTATTTTTTATAAAGTGTCTCTGACTTCTTTTTGTGCCTGACGAACACAACCCATATCCTATCACCCTTTCAGGGACTGCGCAGGAGGGGCAGGGAGGGACTGGGAGGTACTTACGACTGACAGGCGAAGGCCATGCCACAGATAGGGAGGCAGCGAAAGACACCGTCCCAGCGCACCACACTGACCCGCCCCAGCCAAAAGCCACTGAGTAGCCCGTGTTTGAATGAGGACAACACCATCTGAGGGAGGGAGGGGGGAGAGCAGGGGGAGTTATGGCATGAACCAAAAGAGGAAGAGGAGGGGGAAGAGGAGGAGAGAAGCCCATGCTGAAGGCCTGTCTGATCATGAATGAAAGAATGAAGAGGGGAGGAACCGGAGAAAATGAATTTGAACACAACATTTAAAATGAGACAGAATATGCCATGTTGATTAAAAAAAGGTCTCCTCCTGTCCAAATAAGGTTGTGACGATTTCAGAAATCATCCTCTCGGACCTGTTAGAGATTTACACATGCCCAATGCCCAACTAGTAGGGCTGCACGATTAATCGAATTGTAATCTAAATTGCGATATTGACATGTGCAATATCCATATGACAAGAGGCTGCGATATTTCGAAACAGCCATCTGTAATGCCCGTATTTTTACTTTGGATTTATTTCTTGAGTTGACAGAGTTCTCTCCACCCCCTGTCACTCAACCAGGCAGTTCCTCATGCTCGAGATTCACTCTGCATGCATTGACCAAACAGCATGCAGTCAACAGATTTTTCCAAACAAGAACAACACAACTTTCCACCTTGCTTCTTAATATAAATCCACATATTTTCTATATTATACTATTTATTTGTGTAACTTGCTCTTAGTTGGTCTTAGGAAGCTGCAAATATGCTGAAAGGTTTCCTGTTAGCCCCTAATGCTAATCGCTAGCTAAATCCACTGATAGGGCAAATCTTGCTAGCAAACTTTTGCTCTAATACAGGCCGCTATATCAGCATTGTTTGTGCAACAGCTGGTTCTTAATCAGAGAGGAAAAGGTGAAGAATATTCTAAAATCTTTGTATGAATGTACCTATCCATTTAAATCTAATTAGGGTCCCATGGGAAAGACTGACCAACACTTTGGTTCCTGCTCTGTCATAACCATCTCCTCCCTTACTTTTTCATTCGTTGTCATGCAAAACAAAACTGCAAGTGCCCACTGTATTCCAACCATAAAATTAAAATGATTATTCCATTTCTATGATTCCAACAGTTTACCCAAGTGTTTTGATCGATAATGGCAAGTAAAATCACAATATTTGGTACAAAAATAGCTATTTGTTTTTTGCCCATATCGTGCAGCCCTACCAACTAGAATGCAGAATTTGAAGACTGATCAAGAAAATAAATATATTTTTGAGGAGGGGCAGATGTTTTGATCGGTACAGCATTTACGGTCTGTAGTTGCTTCCCATATCCAGCTCCAGAGGACCAGAGAGAGAGAGCTCCATGAGCATCCTCCACATCAGAGGACGGCAGTTGAGGGGGGGCAGGGGTTGAGCAATCAATAATTGTGCACCCCCTTGCCTCCAAACCATAGACACCATTGACACACAAACCACCTAAAGACAAACAAAAATGAATTTGAAGAGGGGAGAGGAAATGGAAATGCGAGGATTGGTTTTGATACAATTTGATTTGAGATTGAGGATGCTATTAGTTTTGGGAGGTGGTAGGTGGGTGGGGGTTGAATTTCGTCCCCTTAGCGTCGGAGTTGATACCTTCCCCCAGGTCGGAGTTCAAGGGTCGTTTCCATGGTTACTTACGGGTGACAGCAGAAGGTGGTGGCGATAATGGGCAGGCACTGTATGACACCCCTGACCCGCCACAGGTGCACGCGCTCGAACCAGGAGCCTGAGATCAGGCCGTAACGCAGAGAAGACATGACTATCTACAGCAGCCAGCCAGACAGCAGTCAGCAGCAACACAGGAGAGGAGAGAAACAGTCACAAGGGAGAGGAAGGTAGAGAGAATCGTAAAGGAGGTGTCAGAAAGGAAGGGAAGGGGGGGGGGGGGGGGGGGGAGGGGAGTCAAGAACGGCAGTGAGAGAGAAGAAAGTAAGAGAGGAAGGGAGATACATCAGTTAGAGGGTTAGTGGTCTGGACCAGGTTGGGTGGTGGTCAGGGCCAGGACTGGGTCTGGTTCTAATCGCAGACACCACAGTACTCCAACTCACAGTGGTGTTCAGTAGAGATGTCATGGTTTTGCTACAGGAGGTCGGGGCAGAGCACAGGATAGCACAAAGAGGCTACACTATACTACAGTAGCAGTGCTAAAGACTAACTGTGAAAGCAGTGCAAACACTACAGAAATACACAGAGCCATCGACAATAACATCAACAACAATCACAACAATACTCCCAACATCAATACATTTTCACAATAGAGTCAACGAAAAGACAAGGGAGTCACACAGTGTCAACAGACATTCTGTCAGGTTTTTACAAAGAATTATGGCTCCTCTATCGAGTAAAATGTATATTAGCAAAACTCAACATTTTACCCATCTGAGTAGGGCCCTCTTTTACACCTGTTGCAGGCAGCCCTGTACCCCTTCCCATACCCGTGTGGTTGCGGTCTCACCGTGAACATGAAGAAAGTGTAGAACATGAGGGCCATGGCAGAGAAGGACTGGATGGATGACATCATGTTCCTCTGCAGACTGAGAGGCAGCACGATGAACAGAGACACCGTGATCAGCAGCAGCACACGGAAACCAAATGACACCTGCGAAGGGCGAGACAGGACACAAGCTCTAACCAATCATAACACACATACAATCAGTTCAAACCAATCAGCAACAGTACAAGGAAACTAAATTACACTTGGGGTGTGTTCAGTTCGATTGAACGTTTTCTATGTTGCAGAACATTTTGTACTGAATGACATGTTTCCCCAAAACGTTCTTGTACTTTCTTGAACAGACGTCTGCTCCGTTTGGTGAGTGTGGCTTGAAGCAATGAGTGACGTATTTAAAAGGACAGCGGCCACGCTGACAGCATTCCCCAACCCAACTCCTCCCCGTTTTTTTTCAACTGGTCGTTCAGTACAGCACCGTTTCCGTTTAATTAAACATTCCAATACGTTTTTTCGTACTGAACGCAGCCCTTGGGGAGGGTTGGGACAGGAAACTAATCAGACCAATCACATCACACACAGTCAGGTCTGAGACTGTACATCTAATCAGAGCATTTATGAATGTTTATGTACCCCTTATGATGACATTATTTGTCTATATGCAGGTGACTTATTAGGTGCCTTTCACATGTAAACTGGGTTAGGGAAGATGGGATTGTATTAGGGCTGCACAATTAACCAAATTCAGATCGAAATTGCGATATTGACAATATCCATATCGCAAGAGGCTGTTATTTTCTCCTTTCTTTGACACTCCGTCAACACAACAAAAACTAGACTACGGTACCTCCTCCAATGAGATGCGCTAGACTCTGTTCATTCACTCTCTACATGCACAGAGGATGCTGACCAATCACAAGCGGGCTCTCATTCACTGCATGGCATGCACATGCTGGCCAATCACAATCGTCCCCGCTTAGATGCTGGTGAGGAGAGAAAGGGCTTCACAGAGTGTCATAAACATGAGTGTTGCTAGCGCTAACGAGAATGTAGATTTAATGCCAAAGAAGGGCGCATCTTCGGTGGTATGGCAGTATTTCGGCTACAGGCAAACCGATGTCAACCAAATGCAAATGTTGTGCAAAAAGTGCCTTTGAGTTGTGGCGACAACACGACACATTTATTCAATCATTTGAAGAAGAACCATCCCTACTTTACGACGATTGAGCCATAGCCAGCCACCTACAGTGCATTCGGAGAGTATTCAGACCCCTTGACTTTTTCCACATTGTTACGTTACAGCCTTATTCTAAAATTGATTAAAATGTTTGTTTTTTCCTCAATCTACACACAATACTCCATATCGACATAGCAAAAACTGTTTTTTAGAAATGTTTGCAAAAGTATTCAAATTAAAAAACAGAAAGAATACATTTACATAAGTATTCACACCCTTCACTCAGTACTTTGAAGGACCTTTGGCAGCGATTACAGCCTCAAGTCTCTTGGGTATGACGCTACAAGCTTGACACACTTGTATTTGGGGAGTTTCTCCCATTCTTCTCTGCAGATCCTCTCAAGCTCTGTCAGGTTGGATGGGGAGAGTCGCTGCACAGCTATTTTCAGGTCTCTCCAGAGATGTTCGATCGGGTTCAAGTCAGGGCTCTAGCTGGGCCACTCAAGGACATTCAGAGACTTGTCCTGAAGCCACTCCTGCGTTGTTTTGGCTGTGTGCTTAGTGTCGTTGTCCTGTTGGAAGGTGAACCTTTGCCCAAGTCTGAGGTCCTGAGCACTCTGGAGCAGGTTTTCATCAAGGATCTGCCGCTGAAAAACATCCCCACAGCATGATGCTGCCACCACAATGCTTCACCGTAGGGATGGTGCCAGGTTTCCTCCAGACATGATGCTTAGCATTCAGGCCAAAGAGTTCAATCTTGGTTTCATCAGACCAGAGAATCTTGTTTATCATGGTCTGAGAGTCCTTTAAGTGCCTTTTGGCAAACTCACAGCGGGCTGTCATGTGCCTTTTACTGAGGAGTGGCTTCCGTCTGGCCACTCTACCATAAAGGCCTGATTTGTGGAGTGCTGCAGAGATGGTTGTCCTTCTGGAAGGTTCTCCCATCTCCACAGAGGAACTCTGGAGCTCTATCAGAGTGACCATCGGGTTCTTAGTCACCTCCCTGACCAAGGCCCTTCTCCCCCGATTGCTCAGTGGCCGGGCGGCCAGCTCTAGGAAGAGTCTTGGTGGTTCCAAACTTCTTCCATTTAAGAATGTTGGAGGCCACTGTGTTCTTGGGGACCTTCAATGCTGCAGAAATGTTTTGGTACCCTTCCCCAGAGCTGTGCCTCAACACAATCCTGTCTCTGAGCTCCACGGACAATTCATTCGACCTCATCGCTTGGTTTTTGCTCTGACATGCACTGTCAACTATATACAGTGGGGGGGAAAAGTATTTAGTCAGCCACCAATTGTGCAAGTTCTCCCACTTAAAAAGATGAGAGAGGCCTGTAATTTTCATCATAAGTACACGTCAACTATGACAGACAAAATGAGAAGAAAAAAAATCCAGAAAATCACATTGTAGGATTTTTAATGAATTTATTTGCAAATTATGGTGGAAAATAAGTATTTGGTCAATAACAAAGTTTCTCAATACTGTGTTATATACCCTTTGTTGGCAATGACACAGGTCAAACGTTTTCTGTAAGTCTTCACAAGGTTTTCACACACTGTTGCTGGTATTTTGGCCCATTCCTCCATGCAGATCTCCTCTAGAGCAGTGATGTTTTGGGGCTGTCGCTGGGCAACACGGACTTTCAACTCCCTCCAAAGATTTTCTATGGGGTTGAGATCTGGAGACCGGCTAGGCCACTCCAGGACCTTGAAATGCTTTTTACGAAGCCACTCCTTCATTGCCCGGGCGGTGTGTTTGGGATCATTGTCATGCTGAAAGACCCAGCCACGTTTCATCTTCAATGCCCTTGCTGATGGAAGGAGGTTTTCACTCAAAATCTCACGATACATGGCCCCATTCATTCTTTCCTTTACACAGATCAGTCGTCCTGGTCCCTTTGCAGAAAAACAGCCCCAAAGCATGATGTTTCCACCCCCATGCTTCACAGTAGGTATGGTGTTCTTTGGATGCAACTCAGCATTCTTTGTCCTCCAAACACGACGAGTTGAGTTTTTACCAAAAAGTTCTATTTTGGTTTCATCTGACCATATGACATTCTCCCAATCCTCTTCTGGATCATCCAAATGCACTCTAGCAAACTTCAGACGGGCCTGGACATGTACTGGCTTAAGCAGGGGGACACGTCTGGCACTGCAGGATTTGAGTCCCTGGCGGCGTAGTGTGTTACTGATGGTAGGCTTTGTTACTTTGGCCCCAGCTCTCTGCAGGTCATTCACTAGGTCCCCCCGAGTGGTTCTGGGATTTTTGCTCACCATTCTTGTGATTATTTTGACCCCACGGGGTGAGATCTTGCGTGGAGCCCCAGATCGAGGGAGATTATCAGTGGTCTTGTATGTCTTCCATTTCCTAATAATTGCTCCCACAGTTGATTTCTTCAAACCAAGCTGCTTACCTATTGCAGATTCAGTCTTCCCAGCCTGGTGCAGGTCTACAATTTTGTTTCTGTTGTCCTTTGACAGCTCTTTGGTCTTGGCCATAGTGGAGTTTGGAGTGTGACTGTTTGAGGTTGTGGACAGGTGTCTTTTATACTGATAACAAGTTCAAACAGGTGCCATTAATACAGGTAACGAGTGGAGGACAGAGGAGCCTCTTAAATAAGAAGTTACAGGTCTGTGAGAGCCAGAAATATTGCTTGTTTGTAGGTGACCAAATACTTATTTCCCACCATAATTTGCAAATAAATTCATAAAAAAATCCTACAATGTGATTTTCTGGATTAATTTTTCTCATTTTGTCTGTCATAGTTGACGTGTACCTATGATGAAAATTACAGGCCTCTCTCATCTTTTTAAGTGGGAGAACTTGCACAATTGGTGGCTGACTAAATAATTTTTTTCCCCCCACTGTAGACAGGTGTCTGCCTTACCAAATCATGTTCAATCAATTGAATTTACCACAGGTGGACTCCAACCAAGTTGTAGAAACATCTCAAGGATGACCAATAGAAACAGGATGCACCTGAGCTCAATTTTGAGTCTCATAGCAAAGGGTCTGAATACTTATGTAAATAAGGTATTTCTGTTTTTTATTTTTTATAAATTTGCAAAATGTCTAAAAACCTGTTTTCGCTTTGTCATTATGGGGTATTGTGTGTAGATTGATGAGGACAACAATTGATTTAATCAATTTTAGAATAAGGCTGTAACGTAGCAAAATGTGGAAAAAGTCAAGGGATCTGAATACTTTCCGAATGCACTGTACGTTAAGCTGGCATTGATTGCCGATGCGTTTTCAAGTGTAACACCCTACGAAAACACATCCCACAGACACATAGAAATCACAGAGGCTATCACCTATCAAACATTTAGCCAAAGACATGATTCATATTTACACTTACTGTAGTACGTTTACATGCACACTAGTAATTCTATATTAAACTGAGTATGGCATTAGTCATGTAAACATCTTAATCTGCGTAAATCATACTCAAAGTAAGCATACACCGATTAAAAGCACGAGATTCCTTCTTTTGTGCAAGTGATGCATAAACATTAATACCAGGAATTAAGTGAGTTCGAAAAAACTGAATGCATTCATCTTAGAAATTGTTTTGAAAACTTTACATGTCTGAACTCAGAATCAAATAGGCTTCACAAAAACAACATGGTCGCTGTGGTAGAACGTTTATTTTGACTGCCGATTTTTTTCTGCATTTATCAAAGTCCTATCAGGTAGCCTGATTTCAGATGTGTCCATGGAAACAGGATCATTAGGGAAATCATTATTCTTGCAAAGAATGTAAATGTTTAAATCAAACTATTATATTAATCTGACTATTCACAATAATCGTATTATTGTGTGCATGTAACTGTAGACGGCTTCAAGAAGATTATTTTAAAAAGCTGGACAGGAGATAAAAGACTGCATTTCTCACATATTTCTCCCAAGTTGCCATCCCAACACTATATAACAAAATGAAGGGAGAAGTTGAAACAGAGCTCACCCATGTTGTTTATTACGTGACTACAACAGACCTTTGCTCTCGTAGAACGACCGAGCGCTACATTCCTTTGAAACTACACTTGATGAGTAGTTTCAACTGAAAGGTTGGTGCTTGCAAACATCATAGGCTACTTACCCGGAGATCACATGGAAGAAAACATCACTCTGGGGTTGAGAGAAGCTTTAGTCACCTGGGGCCTGAATGAGGAGCAGCAAGTCTGCATAACAATAACGCCGCAAACGTGGTAAAGGCCATCGCGTTGAATGACTGGACCAGACTCCAATGTTTTGGACACAGGCTGCACCTTGCAATCGGTAGGCTACGTGTTACATGTTTTTAAAGCAATTTGACTTCATTTCAATTATATAATTATGATTGAGCCTACTTATACATAATTACACAATCATAAGCTTTCTATTCCATCGGTTAATATGTATGTGTAATAATCCTATCTATTATCATATGTTTAACAATGTTGGAAAATATTTGTTTAATTTGGTTTTGTATTCAGTTAGCACAGCATGTATTAATTCATATGATCTCATTTTAGAACTGATGTTCTCTACCCTGACACTTGTTTTAACCATGTCTGATGGAATTACCAAGTTTTTTTTAAATCGCAATATCTGGGCCAAAAAATTCGCTATTTTATATTTTGTCCAAATCATGCACGGAAATTGTATTCTCTATTGTTTTCTCTGATTGCTTCTGTAATTCAAAACTCATGACTCCTACCGGTAGGCCCAACAACTGGGCGAAGAAATTAGAGCCCAGGTCTGCGATGACGACATAGAAGGCAATACAGGTCCCCAACATCAGACCTATCATACTGTAGAGAAAGAGCGAGAGGGAGGGTGAGAGAGAGGGAGAGAGACCAAGAGAGAGAAGGAGGAAGAGGGAGAGGCATTCAGACATTAGCATTTGATCAAGGCTCTAAAGACACAAGATATACATCACAACAGTATTGGCTCTCAAAGGAAAGAACACATACCTGGTCTCCACCAGTGTTTTGCCTGGTTTGCCATAGGCATGGAAAGCTAGGCCAGCATAAGTCCTGCGTTTGGTGCTGTTAGCCGTGTGGACCAGAAACATACACGACTGGTGGGTCATCCACGAACAGAAGAACAGCAACAGAGTCCCCATCACTATCCCACACTACAGCAAGAGAGAAGCAGAGAGAGAGAGAGTTATTTCAAAACTGCAAATATGGCAACTCTGTCATACACATTTCATATTGACAGGGGCATGATGGGGGCCTAAAATGGCAATTCGGTACAAAGATGTCAAGATCAGCATAAAGCATGAGGTGCACAGCCTGTATAATGCACCTGTTACGGCGCGTGGAAAGGTAAACACGGAACATATGGTCCCTCATTCAATGCCGTCACACTAGTAGGTTATCTATCGTTCGCAAAGTCGCCACACACCATATGATAAACTACCTCTGCAATGGGAATAATCGTGTGACCGGTGTAAGTTAGCCGAAACCGTACCTGTTTGAAACAGAACGGCATGGTCAGAACGCTCACTCCAACGATGCTGTTGACAACGTTCATGATCAAACCCCAGTTCGAAGCCGCCGCCGTCATTTTTAAAGGTTAGGTTTTCTTCACCACACAAAAAAACGTGAAATACTACGTAGAGCAATGACCACGGGAAAGTGGCGGCCGTTATTTGGTCCAAGTTGCGATGATGACAGTAGTTGAATCCGTCCGATTCTGCTTTGCTTTTTCCAAAGCGTATCCTTTTCAAGAGTTATGTGACGTGGCGCTAGTAGGATAGCTAGAGAAATAAAAACATGCCGATCAAGCAAACTAGATCATTCAGCTAAAATACATGTAGCTATGTACATTTCATTTCATGAAATAAAATAAGTTTATCTGCATCGTGCATCTACGTTCAAAAGGAAAATTTGACAGCTGAAAGGAAATCGAGCTTTTGTTGTTGCAAAAACTTTGTTCAACACACACCTACAGTATTCGATTCCCTCGAGGTTGAAGCTTACGTTATCATCGGTGACTGATCTACTCTTGTCCACTGGGTTAAAAATAGACCGTTATAAATTGATATCCATCACATAACGCGATAAGGTTTTATTTTAATATTTACCATGCGATAAACAACTACAAAAGCTACGGAAAACACTATTTCCTGAACGCGTAACCAGGAAGTATGAATCTGGCTCTTCTTCTTCGATGTGGTTTAACGGCGGTTTGGCATCCAATAAATGTTGCATTACCGCCACCTACTAGACTGGAGTATATCTCCTTTATACTTCGCTTGATAAAATAAAAATAAAACAAATACCCTACCATCTAACACTACACAATTTTTTTTTTACAAATGTATAATATCATACTCCACTATTTAAATCTATTTAGTCCTGAAAGAATGGGTCACCACCACTTAACACACCCTGTGTGTCTCTCACACCAAAGTCTCGCACACCCAAATACCTCTCTTCAGCTGCCACTACAACCTCTATTTTCTGCGATTTACGTTTCATCCCTGCGGTACAGTTGATAACCATTGCTATAAATGCCAAAAATCCAATCTTACTGAAGCATATATCACTTGTTGGTTTATCCCTCTGTACTGGTACAGATCTACTACTCACACCACTCCTCTCAGGATCCCTCCCCCTTGACCCATCTTCCTCTACTTTCTTCACTGCCTCAGCATATGACAACTTCTGCACTACTCTAACCCTGGAAACCTCAACCTGCCTCTCTCGCACTGAATATTTCTGATCCCCAGCCCCATAGGCACGCCTACAATTAACACATACCACTACTTTCCCCAATGCACACTTCTCACACCTAGGAACCTCCCTCCTATACACCGCTGCCACATGCCCATAAGCTTGACACCTGTAACAACGTAATGTATTCGGCTTAAAAGCTCGTACAGGATAACTTATATATCCTAACATCACTATGTTGGGCAAAGACTCAACATCAAAACTCAAAAGAACAGATAATGATAAAGAAGAACATCAAGATGAAGCAGCTACTTTACAAGTGGGATGCACTGTTGAGCGCTACATCCCAAGGGGTTAGTGCTGATTGTACGGAGATTGTGACAGCCGGTTAAATGGTGTCCCTTGACAAGACAAGAACAAGATGTATGTCAGGATTAGTGCAGTATTATCATAAGGAGACTTCTCCTTGGAATACGGAGGAGGAATGGAGGGAAAAAGAGAAGCAGAGGAGGTCTGAGAGAGGGAGGAAGAGGGTGAGCTTGAGTAGGTTAAAAATGGCGGGGAAAAGGGAGATGGTTTGTTAAAGAAGAATGGTAGAAAGTGTAAGCAGAGTGAGTTGAAGACAGGAGGAGAAATGGAAGTGAATGAGGGCGAAGTATCGGAGGTGGTAGGTGTGGTGAAGTTCTCGGAGCCCGAGGTGGCGCTTACTCTTCTTCTTCTTTAAGGTTTTGTTGCAGACTACACCTATTGGTGTATTGCCGCCACCTACTGTACGGGTACTGAACGAAAAAAAATAATACTAATATCCATTGGGGGAAAATGAGGGGAAATGCCAACATCATTTACAATACAAAAATAAAATAAATTCCCCAAATCCCCAACCCACTCCAGGTGCCTGTGTGGACGGAACATTCATCGACAGGATTCCTTGTAATGCCTCTGCTGTAAAATCGCTGAGTCCCTCACTCACAACGATGCTTATTTTCTCAGATGGCTTCTTTGTTCGCGCTGTGCAGTTTATAACTAATGCCTCTGGCTCTTATTATACCCAGAGATACTTTTGAGGACATTGGAAACTCCTTTGAAATCGTATTAATGCCCAGTGTGTACGTTGCCCATGCGTCGTCAATGGGCCACGCGATGCATTCTGGGCTATTTTGGGAGAAGGCGAGCTCTCCTTCAAGGAGTACAATGGGAGTCAATTGGGCGCTAGCTCAAAAACCCAACATTAGCATGAATTTCGGGAACAAGAAGTACAACATTACAAATATTTTCCGAGATGTTAGATAACTAACTTATTCTCTGTAATATCGTATAGCTTTGGAATCGTGACATTACGTACTTTCGTGGAAAATAGTCAAGTTTCTCGACTCATACCCTGACTTTGAGAAGGGATTGCGTGACGCAGCATGACAACGTGAACACAATTGGTCGATAGTCTGCTTGGTGGGGCGTAATACTGTCCTATTCTTTGCAAACAGTTAATTGGTTGGATCTAGGGACGCACTTTTTCGAAATGCTGCAACACGCCTGGCCGCTAGAGGGCGCCCAAGCGTGTTGCAGCATTTCGAAAAAGTAGCGTCCCTAAATCCAACCAATTAACTGTTTACGCAGCCGCGACCATTTGAAAAAACCTTCAGGCAGAGAATAGACAATCTTATTTTATGGTGTTTACTGCGCATGTGATTAATTGTACTGCCCAAACGAACAAAAAGTCAAAGAAACTGGATATAATAGTATCTGCGGCTGAAAGGTTTTTGGATTTCCAGGACTTCACTGCCGAAACATTGCAAAGAATACTGTCTGAAGATGCTCTTTCTTCTCAGGCCCCAGAGCCTGTAGGGACGGGCGTTGGCAGTTGAATCTGAATAAAGGAGTACATTGAGTTTAGTTTAGTTTAGTTTACTTTGATTTTGTTAATTATTTGGGCTGATTTACAGCCAAAACAGTAGGTGGAGGCGAGCACTTATAGCATTTGTTTGCAGACCACAGTAATATTAAAGAAGAAGAACCCGTACAGTAGGTGGCGGCAATACAACAATAGGGGTAGTCTGCCATTAAAACTTTAAAGAAAAAGAATAGACACGCTTTGCTTCAGGTTCATATTACGGTCTCGCATTTTTCAGTTTGCATATAAAATTTGAGAAATTACTCATTTGATTATCGTGTAGCCATTTCTCATAATCACTTTCCTACGCTGATAATATTACTTACAAAGTGCAGGAAGAGACTGAATACAGCACAGACTTTATCATCAGAAACACAACCACAACTCGTCCCAAATTAAGCGAAAGCAACACACACACATGACATCCATGATGTACTGTTTCTCGAAATGCGTTCGAGATTCCAGGAGGAAGGGGAAACCGGAATGGTCGATATGTGAGCTGGAATCCTATCTCTCTTGAACTTTCCTATTAGGTTCCCTAGACGCGAATCTGAGGTCAGTTTTGTGTATTTCTTCCTAATGTTACGGTTATGATTGGGGGAGAGTAAGATGATCCTAGGCTAGATCTGTGGTTAGGGTAACTTCCCTGAGCCCTAGCTCTCTGTAGGTGGTTATTATGTCATCTGACCAGGAAGGTGTGGGATCAGGGGAGGGGGATGACCTGACCACTTTACCCCTGTAAGGGCTCTGGGAAGGGGGATTTGACAGGCAGGGATCCGATGGAGCTTTCGGTGGTGGGGGTAGGGGAAATAGTGTGTGTGTGGGTGCATGCGCAAGTGTGTGTGCGTCAGGGAGGTAGGGGGAGGTTAAGACATGAAAAGCCTGGCCACTGTGCTCCAGTGACCCCTCAAAATCAATGTGACAGACTGGTTGATTGGCTGGAGGGTCCTGGCTGTCCACACCTAATCCCTCAAGGTTGGCCCATGGCCTGGGTTGGGATACAGCTGGGGCCTGGGGGAGTGTGTGTGCTTGCGTGCAATGAGGCCGGCAGGAGATGGGTGCAAGCAGGTATGGAAGGCAGTTGCCTTGCTAAGACTGACGGAGGCAGGACCATGTACATGGGAAGCAGTTGTAGTTAGGGGGATTTTTCTGGGGACACATTTCATGGCAGATTTGGGAGAATAACCCAGTCGGGGTGAAATTAGACACAGGCATCTGGATTTGACCTACTGACCTCTGGGGGTGACCCTAGGTCTCGGTGGGGTCGCGGGACACAAAGCAGAGCACTGACCCCTGAGAGGTCAAGCATGCGGATGGCTGAAAGGAGACCTTTCTGGGGCCAGGCATGCACACGATTTCCCATGAGCACCAGGGGCTTGAGGTCCTAAGTCTGCCCAGGAAACCAGTGGAGGGAGGGAGGGAGGGAGAGAGAGAGGGAGGGAGAGAGAGAGAGAGAGCCCTCTGCTCCAGTAATCACAGTTAATTACAACGCAGCATTAGCCCTGGCCATGAATGGGGTTTTCAACCAGCCTCTTATACAGAGAGAGAGACTGCATGGCCCTGTCTATCCAACTGAACATTGCCTACCTTTGTGCCTCTGGCCCCTCAACATTCTATTAACCCCCTGTCATTTGACCATCAGTAATACACTGGGGGCTAGAGGCTCTAATGACCACTCTGCTAATAGGCTACTAGACTACAGATAGAATGAAGGAATGGACAAAATATGTCTTCTGGGCTGGATGGTTAGGTCTGGTGTTGTTGTAGTTAAATGGGGAGGCCATGTAGAATCGGAATGAAGCTTTAAAATGCAACTTCAGTTCATTTTAGTGTACTGCTGTAGCTCAGTTGGTAGAGCATGGCGCTTGCAACGCCAGGGTTGTGGGTTCGTTTCCCACGGGGGGCCAGTATGAAAATGTATGCACTCACTAACTGTAAGTCGCTCTGGATAAGAGCATCTGCTAAATGACTAAAAAATAAAAATAAATAAAAAATTCTGC